AGAAGGATGACTACGATGATGATGAGTTTGAGGCATCTGTATCCTCTGTAAAGAAGGAGGAGGAGCCAGTGAAGGAAACCTGTGCAGAGGGTACTGAGACTTCTAAGGACGAATATGATGATGACTTTGAGATGGAGGGAACACCGTCGACAGAAGTAGCGCCAAAGAAGGCCTCCAAACATAGCTCTATTTCCAACGGGAGTAGCATCTCTGAAGTAAAGAGTGAGAAGTCGAATTCTGCTCACGAGATTGATGAAGTACCAGATGTGGTAGAAAATACTGCTGCTCCTGCTACTGCTTCTACCTCTTCCCGTTCATCATCTTCACGTTCCAGCTCCCTGAGTTCCTCAAAAGAAATCAGCTTGCATGATATCGGAAAATCAGAGAAGGAAAGTGACGAACTATATAAAAAAAAAAAAAAAGGAAGGTTTATACTTGTCACACAAAGACAGTGTGAAAACTAGAAAAGTTATATAAATATATTTATATATTTTTATACATATATTTATATTCATACATATATTTATACACTTATATATATATTTATATATTTCTATTTAATGCAGTACAAATTGCAAAGAAAACAAACAACAAATCATATAAATACATATATGATATTTTTCTCTCTGTAGAAAAACAATGTAAAACAAAAATAAATGCATGTTTTTAGACGTACATGGATGTATGTGTGTTTATCGCTGCTTTTGTATAAGAAAAAACAAAACAAAATGACAGAGAATATGATACAATTACAAATTGGGGTATATAGCGACGACAGTGTTGTTCTGAGGGGCAGGCAATGCAAACAACTTATGTATAGCAGGTGATACATTCAAGGTCACAATACAGGTGGATAAAGGCAAAAATAGAATATAATTGTTGCACTGAATGACTGATTGAGATAAGAAAAAAAAAACGAAAGAGAACAAATGATGTGAACCTCGCTACTTTTGTTATCATCAGCAGTGGGAAAAGTGGTGAAGAACAGACGGAGTGTATGACTATGGAGGATGAGGGGGGATACCTATTGTTTATTCTTTATACAATTATGGGAAAAATTGAAGTCAAGGGATAAAAAGGAATTGGCGGTGATGAAGAAGGTGGATCGGAAAGGAAAAAAAAAAAGAGATTTAGAAGGAAAAGGACTCTGTTTTTTTCATTTTTTTTTTCTTTTTTGTTGCTCAAGGAAGTAACTACTTGTTTCAACAGAAAATTTTTTACTATAACCATTTTCTTTTTTTAACCTTTCTTTCTTTGTTGTTCCTTGTTAATTGCTTTTGTTTTTTGCGTTTTACCTATGGAGAATACTTATACAAAGTCATATATTACATATATTACATATATACATACATATATATGTATTATATAAATATATATCTCTATGCATATGTCTTTGTATATCTGTATATGTTTCTTTGTATGTATTTAGGTATGTATTCCTGCTGCTGCTGCTCTTCGCCACCTTAGTGGGGGGAGTCCCATTTGTTCTGGCCACCGAAAGTTATATATGTGGGGTCAGTTTTCTCTTAAGTTCTCACAACTGCACTAAAGATGAATGAAAGATACTTGCGAAGAAAATAGTAATACCGATTATGTTATTGATTATGGATGCTTTACAATTGATCAACGCATGTTTGGTCATTTAGCCTACCCTGTTCTTTGCGTTATTTTGTTTTTTTTTTTTTCCCCTCTCTTTCTCTCACACGTACAAACAAATACGATTCATCTGTATTATCTTTCTTTCCCTCTTTTTCCCTTTCTTTGTTTTTGTTCTCTATTTCTCTCTCACGGTATTTATTGTGTTGTCGTTTTCCAGGCTGGTTACTGTGGCGGGCATATAAAAGTTGTACACGCCGACTTTCTCTTCAGTACCAACATCAGAAAAGTGGGGGGGGGGCAGTAAAATAAGAAAAGAAAAGAAGCAAGGGATTTTCTTTCTTTTGCCCATAGAAAGTCAATTCTGCTCTATCTATCCATATATATATATATATATATATATATATTACTTGTAGTGTGTGGGTGTGTTTATTTTCTCTTGTCCTTTGGTTCAGCCTTTGTATTCCAAGACAGGGCTAGAACATAGATACATACAAGGAAAGAAAAAAAAGAACAACAAGAAAGAAAGAGAAAAAGAAATCACAGTCACTTCATCATGACAGACCCAACGGAAGGTGTCCCAAGCACCGCAGGGATGGGCCAGAAAAAAATGACGGAGGAAATTCGACAGCGACGCGATAAGCTTGAGATGTATCAATCCCACTCACACAAGATGAAGTCTCTCATGATGAACAGTGCTGGTATACGTAGTGGACTTAGTACAAATGATGATCGGACGCTAAATCCCATCTGGACAAACTTCCCCACCCGTTGTGTGAAGCCTATTTCCTCTGTAGCTGAGATGCGTGAGAAATTAGAGTATTTTGCCCACAGTGATGATGTGATGGTGGTACGATACCATCAAAACAACTGCACTGCCTGTAATGCGGTAGACAAGAGCTTCGAGCTCCTCTGCCACCAGAGTGCGGAGCGGCTGCCCAATCTGCGTTTCTACGACGTCAACCGCGACGAGGTGCCGGAGCTCGCGAAGGGCCTCGTGCGGTTCCCGCAGGTGAAGGGCTACAGCGGGGGCCACTGGACGGATCTCGAGTTCAAACCCCCGGCGGCCTACCGCGAGGAGGTCTACGCCGGCGTCGAGCAGGAAGTCCGGCGGCAGAAGAACGCCGGCCGCCCCGTCACGGCCCTCGAGGCGGAGGAAATGTATTTCTCCGCCGCCGGGCCCGCCATGCTGCAAGTACTGGAAGAGTCGCTGGTCCGCTTCTACGCCAAGTCGCAGGTGCGATTGCATAATTACTGGAAGCAGGTGTCCGTGCGCCGCGCGTGGTTCTTCCGCAAATTCATAGAACCAGAAGTAAATGAGGAAATACGGGATGCATGGCAGATGAAGTCAATATTTGGTGAGAAACTAAATTATGGGCCGGAGCCAAAGATGGACGACTTTTGACACCCTCTTCTGGGTAGGTGAGTATGGAAAGGAAATGAAAAAAAAAAAAAAAAGGGCGGGGACGGTTCTGATGATCAAGGTGTGATGATGATGCTGGTCGTGGTCGTGGTGGTGGTTAGGGAAAAGAGAGAAACATGGCAAAAGAGGTTGGTCGTACAGTCAACAAGAAAGAAGAAGTTTAGGCTCACAATACATAATATGTGGTATTTTTCTTTGTTTATCTGTAATTGTTTTATCACTTTTTTTTTTCCTTTTCTTTCTCTGTTAATCTCTTTCTTCTGGGTTTCTTTTTTTTTTTTTTTTTCCTTTCTTTATTGTTTGCTCATTCGTTATTTATTTGCAGCCTGTCTCTCACAGAACGGCGATAGGTACAGATAATACATATATATATTTATTCATTTATATATTCACAAACTGATACACCATACACGGTGTTCTTCAGATATAAACAGAAAAAAGGGAAAATAAAAAAAATAAAAAAAAGGTCCACCTACTATCTATTTTGTAATAGGTAAAACAACATGACATCGTTTGCTGCTGTCGAGCAGGATATAGAACTCGCTAGACAACTTGCTTCTTCTTTTTATAGTAGTTTTGCAGCCAAAGGTACATCTTCACTTAATGGATTAGATCGTTTTGTAACTCTATGCGGTCCTTTTCGAAATCGAACGGGAACTTGCAGTGTTACTATTCTGCTTGAGCGTTCGTTTGTAAGTAGTAAAATCATTGACTCCAATTCATCTAATTTTGTGGTCTGTGCAGAATGGAAGGTTCTCTTTGGTCCATCCTACCCAACAGAGCCATGTACTTGGCATTTTGATAAGGATTGTAATACACACAGAAATAGTCATATGAGTGGAGATACCATGCGGCTTCGTGTTAGACTACGGTCATTTCTTGTAGAGGAAGTAGTATCACGTCTATCTTCATCATCGAGACTAACAACTTCAGGCACCTCATATGCAGCGGCATGTACACCTGATGCGAGTAAACATAATGATTATTATTCGTTTAACTCACGTGGTGTTAATAGGGAACTTTCACCAGAAAGACTATTACCGCCAGGAGGTACACCCTCCTTAACGGAGGACTCTGCAAGACTAGAAAAAAAGTGTAGTGATGGTACTATACCAGTACCACAGTTTCTCTTTGATTTTGCATTTCTTTGTAATTGGTGGATGTCATTAGAATTAGATGATGGATGTATTGTGCCAGCCAGTCATCAAATGTTGCATGGGATAGCCTCTGTTGGAAATATGGTCGCAACAGAAGAAGAAGGTAGTGGTGGTGGATTTATGAACTCGGGTCATACTACCCATTTTTTGGAAGCTGTAGGAGGAGGGAATAGAAGTGAATTACCAAAACGTGGATTTGCAGCTATATTTACTCCACACGGTGAAGTTCTCATGTGGGGATTTGGTCGTCTGAAGAAAAAGAGAAGCACACAAGGTAAACAAACGGTTGGAGATATGCATTCCAGTACAAGTGAAATGAATAGGGATAAAACGCAATCGTTTACTCCCCCACAATTGATATTGTCAGTCTCGTCGTCATCATCGTATACTAATATGAATCATAATAACAATACTACTACTACTACTACTACTATGACTGGTAATGTTTCCAGTTCTACGGAGTTTACAGAGGTACGTAAATATAGTAATCAACGCAACCACTATCATCATCATCATCATCATCATGAGTGGCAGAGGCTTCACATTACATCTTCCTCTAGTGATGGAACAAGTGAAGTGTTACCATCCTTATTGGTACCAAAAAATATTCTATATACAGAACTTTATCGCATGAATGATGTTTGCCTTTGTGCAGAAGATCCTGCTACAGCATTGAAGAAAAATATTCGTATTTGTAGAGAAGGAACGAAACTTCGTGGTGTAGTAAAAGCTTTTCGAATGTTACGTCAACTTGTAAAAGGAGCATCTCCACATGCACCTTCCTTGTATACTGTGCAACTCTTAGCACCCGCCTTGCATGAAGTTGTAAAGGCGCTTCAACTGCTGCAGAAACCTTTTTGGGCAGGAGTGGCTATTTGCTGCTTTACACTTCCATCCTTGTTAAGTGATCGTCCAATGATGTTGAACCTTGACTCACTTTTGATTGACCCAGTTGAGAGTCATCGCTGTGTTTCTCTTGTGGCAACCGTATTTTCTATTGTTGGTTCTGTTATTCAGTTTCGGGAAGCTGAAATAGCAAAAAAGGCGATAGAAAATATACATGGTGTTACGAAACGGCATTTAAAAATTCCTGATAAATCAATCTGTGGAGATAACACTAACAATGGTATTGGCAATTGCTCTCCTAGTTCCAGTAACAGTAATAAGAAAGGGGATGTGAAGAATAATTCCTCTGTCTTTACGGGTCATCCACCGATCACTGAGTGTGCCGTCTGCAGACTTCCTCTTCCGCAACGTCCAACACCGATTGGTGTTCATGGTGATGGTGATAGTATTAATAGTAGTAATAATAATAATAGTGGTAGTGCTGCTGCTTCTACTTCTTCTTCTGCTGCTTCTGCCTGTAATGGTGGTAATAAGTATGGAAATAATGCCATGAGGACGACTGTTGTTGAAGGTGGATCACCGTTGTCTTCTGGTAATGAGGATGGGTGTCTCACCCTTCAATGTGCTCGTTGTGGTCATGGTGGACACGTTGATCACATTCTTGCTTGGTGGGATGACTGTAATGTACGCTGTTGCCCTATGGGATGTGATTGTCTATGCATTTATTGAAGCGAAAAGAAAAAAAAAAAAAGGAAACATCGGATCACTCCCTTTATTTATTTTATTTATGGTGTAGTGCATAGCGTAAAAAAAATGGTATATTATTACTATCATAATATCGATTACTAATAAGAGATAAAAAAAAATAATAATAATAAAAATAAAAACTGGTTAAACTCTGTAATCTTCTGTACATATCTTTTACTACCTTCTTTCTGTTGTTCTTGTTTTTTTGTTTTTTTTATCCCTATTTAGAATTAATACTATTTATCGCTAAGGTCTTCCTGAATTTGAATTCTAAAATGGCATCGTCGGGGTACAAAAATATCCTCCGGCGTCTAATGCCAGCACTCGTTATCTTGACACTTCTGGTCTATATCATCATTGGTATTGGAAAACGCAGTAATTTCTTTAAAGCTGAGGTGCAAATGCCAAGGCGGCCCGTTAATCATGGACTCCTGGACTGTGTTACTCCCCACAGCACACTTCTTGGTTACGCCAGTGGTATTCCAGCGTATAGTAACTGTCATCGTCTGTGGAGTTCTGATGTCATGGCGTTTGCTTCGCTCGCTTTCCCAGATGACGTTCTAAAAGAACCCTTTCCTCTTGGAGATCGTCGACAATTGTCTACTGGTAAATGCTGGGTGGCTGCAGAGTACGTTTCCCGCTTTTATTACCTTATGCGTGGTTTGGTGTTTTATTATGACTCAGCAGAAGTCAGACAGTTTTGGTCAACCATAGAGTTCTATTCAACGGAGGGTGATAAACGCAAGTACGAGGTAATAGAGTTGCCTAATTATAAGGAGGTGAAAACAGCAAAAGAACGAAAACGTCTGGCCCCAAAGTTTGCAGATGTTGTGGTGTGGGCCTCGCATCCAGAGCGTGAACTTGACGAGGGACACGCCGCTGTTGTGGTTCATGTGGAAGATGATGTGGAGGCCGCAGGCGGAGAGGCACAACTGCGTGAAATGCAGAAGGAACACACACAGCCACAGTTGGTGTACATTGCGGAACAGAACTTTGATAATAAAGACTGGGAAGGAAAGAATTACTCTCGTGTACTGCGGTTCTCGTGGAAGAATGGAAAGGAGATGTTATTGGAGGATTCGGATGATTATAATATCATTGGGAGAGTGCGACCTGGTAAGGTGAAACGTGATGATATGGATGAGGGTGATCTTTAATTTGACATTTCTATTTATTTTATTGATATTTGTATTTATTTATTTTTTTTATTATTATTAACACTTTATCATTGTCAATACACATCGTAAAAGTGATGGAAGTTTGTGACTGGTACTAACCCTATTAATTTTTTTTCTTGTTTTGTTTATGTGTCTAGGTAGAGCATGGCTATGGTAGAACTAACAAATGTGTTTGTTGCTTCTATAGTCGTAGTGGTAAATGTTTTTTTTTTTTTTTTTTCTGATTGGATAAATTACCATGAACAGTTTTACTTTTGTTTTCGATTTTTTTTCTTATTCTTATTGGAGTCATAGTGTAAGTATTTTGGAGTTTTTAAAACTACTATGTTTCTTTTTTCTCTCTTTCTCTCTCTTTTAAACTGTTTGAACGTAAGAAGATAAATTAAATTAACGTACTAGATAGATATCGTTTACTTCCAAATGATGATGAAATCGACTGGTGAAATAGCTGTTTTAGCACTCTTACTGCTCCTAGCAATTTATTACTTATTGATATCCGATGCCAATATATTGGGTTTAAACCGTTATTATAATACACATTTGCCCAGTAAAGATCCACGCTTTGATCCATTAAAGCACTGTACAACCCCATTCGGTACCTTTCTAGGGGTTGCACATGGTATTCCAGCGTATAGTAATTGTCATCGTAGTTTTAGATCTAATCGACTTATACTCACACGTTTTGGATCTCCAGATGTGTTTTTAGAGCATAGTAGTGATCAGGAAGGGAGCTTTATATCCGGATCACCGTGGGCCGCAACGGAGTATGTCGCTCGATTTCTCTTTCACACAAAAGGAATCACTATTCATGATCCCGGCACCACACAAGAGATCTGGAGTATAAGGTACTTTTACAATCCTCTCTCCACAAAGCATAGTGATAATTTACGGAAGTATGAACCAATACAACTTGAGAACTTTATGGAGGTGAAAACAGCAAAAGAACGAAAACGTCTGGCCCCAAAGTTTGCAGATGTTGTGGTGTGGGCCTCGCATCCAGAGCGTGAACTTGACGATGGACACGCCGCTGTTGTGGTTCATGTGGAAGATGATGTGGAGGCCGCAGGCGGAGAGGCACAACTGCGTGAAATGCAGAAGGAACACACACAGCCACAGTTGGTGTACATTGCGGAACAGAACTTTGATAATAAAGACTGGGAAGGAAAGAATTACTCTCGTGTACTGCGGTTCTCGTGGAAGAATGGAAAGGAGATGTTGTTGGAGGATTCGGATGATTATAATATCATTGGGAGAGTGCGACCTGGTAATCTGAAACGTGATGATATGGATGAGGGTGATCTTTAATTTGACATTTTTATTTATTTTATTGATATTTGTATTTATTTATTTTTTTTTATTATTAACACTTTATTATTGTCAATACACATCGTAAAGGTGATGGAAGTTGTGACTGGTACTAACCCTATTAATTTTTTTTTTTGTTGTTGTTCATTCTGATTGAGTGGATTTCTGTAAACAGTTTTATTTTTTCTGTTGGGTGTTAAAAGATGGAAAAAAAAAAGAAAAATAATTTTTTTGTCGTTTTCTCTGCAATTATTATGTGATCTCTCAGAAGCACGGATGCAAAAAAGGGAGGAACATTGACCTTTATCAGGTTTCCTTTTTTTCGTTTTCCTATTATTATTATTATTATTATTATTATTATTATTATTATTATTTTCTTTCTTATTTTTTCCAATAGCAGTGTGAGCCGCACAGGTGGGTATGTTTACGTTCTCCATGCGGCGCCAAGGCGTCGTTGCTGTGGGCAGCTGGACTTCTCCCGCCAGCGCCGTTTCTCTTCTCCGCGGCCCTTTTCATCATTATCATCTCAACAACAGTGGTGTCTTCTCGCTGATGATATTGGCCCCTCAGTGCTGGGCTCGGCGGTATAGAGCCTCACAGGCCACGCTCACCTCCTCCAGTCGAAACAGCACAGGGACAAGACATCATGGAAATGCGGGGAATGCCTCTTCCTCTCATACTTCCGTTACGTCTGTTAGTGCTGGTAATGGTAATAGTAATAGTAATGGTGTTTCTGGGGGGAATCACTCTTCCGTAGCGCATACAAGTGGTGGTAATGTTGGAACCGGATCCACCACCACACATTCCCACTCAAGTGGAGGGAATGGGAATAATAATAATAATAATAACAATAATAGTGGTGGAAATGGGAATGGAGGGAGTAGTCATAACAGTAGTAGTGGAGGTGGGGGTGGTGTATCTATGGCACAAGCTGCAAAGAAAAAGAAGAATACAAGGAAAGTACTTAAGAGGACAACGGTATTAAAGAAGAAAAAACGTATAAAGAAGGTATTATCTTCTACAAAGGTCTCAAGTCCCTCTGGAGCCACTACCTTATCACGTACTACCACCGCTGCTTCTACTGGTACTGGTTCTACAAATGTATCTTCTGCTACTACAAGTTCAACTAATAGTACTACTACAAAGACTACATCATCTCATCGTTTACGTCGAAAAACTATAACGAAGAAACCAACTCCCAAATTTCGTATTTGTGTTCTTAATAGTAGTTACGAAGGCGCAGATTCTGTAACCGCAGATGTGGATAACTACCATTGTAGTCCCGCTCACTGGGTAAAGGATAAGAAACAGTTTGCGTTCACTGAAGTTTCGGTAAAAAAGAATGATTCCTATCGTCAAATACGAGAATTGGTAACATCAAATAAGTTTGACGTCTTTTTTAATCTTTGTGATGGTGGACGAGATGAAAAACGAGCAGGTGTAGATGTTGTAGAAGCACTTGAAGAACATAATGCAGCTTTTACTGGCACAGATTCTCATAGCTTTGAACCTAGTAAAATTGATATGAAACTTTTAGTAGGAGCTGCTGGTGTCAATACACCCAATTTTGTGCTTCTAGAAAGTGCTGAAGGGTTAGCAAAGAAGTGTCGTCATTTGCGATTTCCTGTTATTGTAAAACATCTTTCTGGTTATGCCTCTGTGGGAATTCACAAGGATAATCGTTGTGATACACTAGAGGAACTAAAAACGAAAGTGCCTAAATTTCTAAAAGAATTTAACCATGCCCTTATAGAAGAATTTATTCGTGGTAGAGAAGGAACTGTTCTTACCTGTGCTGATAGTGGAAGTCAATTTGGTGTAAAAGTATTTAAACCACTTATGTTTAAATTTCTTCAAGGAGATGATGACTTTGCATACTTTGAGAAGAAATGGTCTATGGAGTGTAATGATGAAGCTTATGATTTTCTTCCACATAATGATCCCGCCTATCCTCAAGTTGTAGATATGGCCCGTAATGCCTTTAAACATATTATGAATGGTGTTGGTTATGGTCGTGTGGATTTTCGTATTGATCCCAAGGGAGATGTTTATTTTCTCGAAATTAACCCCAATTGTGGTATGTGGTATAGTGAAAAAGATGGTGGAGACTTTGCGGATGTGATGGTCCAAGGCGATAAATCATGGAATCATGATCGATTTATTCGCAATGCGGTATTACGTGCGGTGCGAGAACAAGTGGCTCGTCGTCCATGGTATTTTATCAGTCATGACTCTAAAGGGAATTTCTCTACTCGGGCGAGTAAAACGGTACGGGCGGGTAAAGGTCTCTTCTGCGATGCCGCTCATCCCGTACCGGTGATTGCACAGGCATTATATAAACTTGGTGAGGAGGATCCCACAGTTGGGTGTGTTATCATGCGAGGCGATAGACTTCACCAGGCAGTGGCAATTCGACACTCATGTGAACCGAATATGCAGTTTATGCAAGGCCGAACACTCACACTTGTGGCCAAGCGAAAAATTAATGTGGGAGAGGAATTGACAGTGGATTATGCAACCTTGTGTGATGAGAATATGCCAGCCTTTGCGTGTAGCTGTGGAACCAGTAACTGTAGAAGTGTTATTTTCCCAGCACCTCCCACACCACGAACCTTGGAAGGGAAGAATGTACGCCAAATGATGCGAGAGAAGAAAAAGGCGTGGTATAAAGAGAAGGAGGATCGTGAGGCGGAACGCATGTTGAAGAAACGAGCTTCAAAAGGTAAAAACAACAGTAATAACAGCGGTAATAATAGTAATGGTGGTAGTGGTGCTGGAACTGGTAGTGGTAATAATAGTAGTAGCAGTGGCAACAGCACGAATAGTAATAACAACAACAATAATGTCTCTTCTTATTCTTCATCATCATCATCTGCATCCTCCTCAGGGGCAAATGGTTCAATGACTTCTGGTGTTTCTGCAAGGGGGAATAATGCCCAAACAAACAATAATGTTAATAACAACACTGGGAGTGGAGAAGGTGCTACGAAAGGGGTAAGTGGCAGGAGGTAGCCGAAAGAAAGAAAAAAAAAAAAAGAATTTCCTTTTTTTTTTCTTTTTAACGACAGCACGAGTATCATCATTGCTATTATTATTATTATTACTTCTCCCTTCTTGTATTAGCCTTTTTTTTGTTCTTCTTCTTTTATTATTATAGCACTTATCCATAGAACTTGATTTTTGTTTTTGTTTTTTTTGAGGGGAGGAGTGTGGGGTGACACCAAAACACACACACACACAGGAAAAAGGATATCATACATACGAAATAAATGAATGTGTATGCGTTCTTTATTAATGCATAGACTTGAAAATGAAAGGGGTCAAGGCGATATGTTGTATATAGATGCGTGTATTTTTGTATGTAGTTGCTTTGAGAGAGGGATGTGTAAAGAGAGCATTTAAGAAAAAAAAAAAAAAGAAAAAAAAGAATAGAAATGAGAGAAAGTAATTATGTTCCCTCACATACATGCATATATGTGTATGTATGTTTTTTTTTCTTTTTATTTAATTTTTTTTTCTCTTTTAGGTGGGAGTTACTAACTTTCTATCCCTTTTTATTCTGCTCTCTTACCTTACTCGGCCTCTTGTCATCACCTGCAACTATATTCGTGGGAGTGGGATGAGGAGAAAGAGAAGGAGAAGTGAGTGAGGACCTCTTTTTCTTTTTTTTCTCTCTCTCTCTCTCTCTCTCTCTCTCTGTTTGTTTGTTTTTTTTATTACTTGACTCCCTTCAAGAACACACCTTTTTTTTATCCATGCATACACATGTACGCATTCATCTAGGAATACAAATGATTATACACATACAGGCACAGAGATATAGAGGCTAACAGCCACTACCACCCCATAGAAGCAGTATCATTAGAGAAATGAGCTTTCTCTCTTTCTCTTTCTGTGTGTAAGTTCATATTAAGAGCTCTAGTGATATGTAAGCCTTCTTTTTCTTTTTTTTTCTTTTCTTTTTTTATTATTGGTTTTTGATGGTAAGAAATGAGGTGGGGGATTTAACGAAAGGGGTGAGGTTGATGGAATGTTTCTCTTTTCTATGTGGCGGAAAACCTTTTTTTTTCTTTTTTCTTGTTCTGCTGAGAACGGAAATGTAGAAAGGAGTTAATCCTGTTCTATACCCAGTAGAGATAGTCTTTTGAACCTCTTATATTTAATCTGTTTTTCATATTATCTGGCTTTCTCTCTATTTCTCTCCTAGTGTGTATGTATGTATGTATGTGTGTGTGTGGATCCATTGTGCCCGTCGTTTGATCTCCTTTCTCTCTCTCTCTATTCTTTATTGTGTTTAACGCGATCGGGTTCCAAGAGTATAGTGAAACGTAAAGGGAAGAGAAGGAAAAAAGAAAAAGAAGACGTAAATCAAATAAAAAGAGAATAACACACACAAAAAAAAAAAGAAGAAAATAATAAATCAATGAGGAACTCAGATTCTGTACTTCCACTTCTCAGTATGGATCGTTGGAGGCGGAGGTGTGGTGTGGAAGATGTATTGCGACGTCTTGTTGTCGATCTCACAGACGCACGGCCGGATGATGTTATGGCGTTTATACATCAGTGGAGTTCTCCACCGCCCGTTGGCAGCGAAGTAAATAAAGATGCGAATGAAGATAAAGAAATACGTCAGAGACATGAATCCCATATCACCGATTTAGAGACGATGAGTAGTCGAGAAGGGAATCAATCCGTGGAATGGCCCTCAAAGTTAGATTCCCATGGACAAGAAGAATATGATCAGCAGGAATCCCATCCACAACAACAACAACTACAACGTCGCAGTAGTGACAACTGGGCACGGGAGGAAAAACCAACCGTGCAGGAGTTGCAGTCGCTTTATCTTGATGCGAAGAATTCTCCATATGAGTTTCTACTGGGTGAAGGGGATTATGCAGCCCATTTTGCGCGGGATGGTTCCATCTCATTAAGTATTAATAGCCTTGGTGTCTGTCTAGGACGTGGTAACTATGGATTTGTTGTACCTGCTATACCCAAATCTGCTTTACAAGGGGAATTGGAAAAAGATCTCAGTTCTGGTTTTACGGAAAAAGATATTTTACATGCTATAGAGAAAGGTTGTGTGATTGCTATTAAAGTCAGTCGTGTACAGGCATTATGGTCTTTAGATGAGGTAAATACCTTGCGCCGTGTAACGGTCTGTCGAGAACTTCTTGAACGTGAAGTTCAGGAACTGCGAAAACAAATTGAAGCCCATGGTGTTTCCGAAGAAGATGGCGCTGTGCGACAATATCGGTTTCCACAAAAACAGCAGCAACAACCACAACAACAAGAAGAACAAGAACAAGAACAACAGCAAGCTGCATGTCCAACTGGGAATGTTAATATAAATGATCTTAAAGTGCAACTCCAGATCCAAAATACGTTCTTGGAAGGAGCCCGTCATATCACTACTCTTGTAGGTGATGTGATGTACGATACCCAGCGAGATGCGTTACTTTTTCCTCTTGAATTCTATCCATCTTCTTTAGGGGAAAGCATCAGAGCCCGCCGCAGACGTTGTGTGGGTTCATTTCCCACACAAGATTGTTTTCCAGATGTAGTTGTTAATGATCGAGGTGAAACGGCGATGGCCCTTCTCTTCTCTGTGCAAGAGATACAACACGTTGTGCGTAGCCTCTGTTTATCATTACACTTTCTTCACACTATTTGTGGTCTCTGTCATCTTGATATAAAGGCAGATAATATTTTCCTCTCCCATGCATGGGTTTCGGATCAATCAAATGGAACTCCTGTTGTTCCCCCGCATGTTGTCTTGGGTGATTTCGGTCTTGCCCAACCCATTGGATCTCCCATTCTTCAACTCGGGGATTTTAGTACAATGGCCCCGGAGGTGTATTGGGCAGAATCACATGATGAAACCAAATACGCCCCTTACCGTTCTTCTGTGTTTAGCGCCTCTCATGATCTCTGGGCGGTGGGATGTGTGTTGCTGCAGATGGCGAATGGTGTGGACTACGCGGTGTGGTCCCCGGGGGATGTGTTTACGGCCCTCGAGGCCAATTTCATCGCCCCCGCCCCCCGACACCCGCAGGTGTGGCCAATGGCACTGAACGACTTCGCCGCCCGCTGTTTTGAACGCGACCCTCGACGCCGAATGAACGCCGCTGCCGCCCTTCAACACCCGTTCCTTGCGGGTCCGTAGTTATTGGTGTCTACTCTCTTTCTCTCTCTCTCTGTGTGTGTGTAGAGATATTAAAAGAGAGAAGAGAAGAAGATTGTGCGTGTGTGTGTGTGTGTCTGCTTCTTGTGGAATGCATTCTTCTTCCTAGAGCTGCTGTACTGGCATCGTTTTTTGTTTTTTTCTTTCTTTTCTTTCTATCTTTCATTTTCATTTTCTTTATTCTTGTTGTGGATGGCCTCCATATCTCTGGCACAACCATGTATATATTTTTTGGCTGTGTACGTGCAATGTACTCTACAGAGGTGGTTAGCTTGATAGCCATGCATTTTTTTTTTTTTTTTTTTTTTTTTATGGAGAGCGTGAGAAAAGAAATAAAAAAATTAATAAAAGGGAAAACAGCAAGAAAAGGGTAGTTATGGGGGTTTGTGACTACTCTCGATGTTTTTTGCTCACTTTTTATCTATATCTATACCTATCAATCTATCAATCTATTTATCAATATTCCCTTTTTATTATTATTATTATTATTCTTATATTCCCTCTTAGTTTTTCTCTATAGCTGTAAATCCTGTTTTGTTGGATTGTTGTATTCGTTCTGTTTTACACCATTCAGTGAAACTTTACATGTAAAGTGAAAGTGTCATCATTGATATGACTCTAGCCCTCAAATTGAGGGTCAACCTTGTGTTGTTGCCTTTTGTTTTTTTTGTTTTTTTTTTCTCTGCTTGGGTGGGTGGGAGAGTCTGTTTCGTTGAAATACGAAAAAAAAAAAAGGTAAAAATAATTAGTGGAATCGGGAGAAGGTAATATTCACATGAATTATGAAAGCAAATTTTTTTTTTCTGTGTTTTTTTTGTTTTCCATTTTTTTTTTTTTCTTTTTTCTTTCTTTATAGTAGTAGACCCATATGGTATTAACCGTCTTTTTTGTTACTGTTATCTCTCGCGCAGGTTTTTTCCTCTTTTTTTTTGCTTTTTTTTTCTCTCCATGGAATGAAATAACTACTGGGGTGGTGTTTGTAGTTTGTTTAATATATATATATATATATATGTATGTATATTTAATATTTATATATATATATCTATGTGTGTGTTTTCTTAAGGTTTTGATTCCTTTGTGGGTCTACATTTTCTCCTGTTCCTGATTTTTTTTTTTTTTTGTTGTTTGCCTTTTATTATTATTATTATTATTGTTATTATTATTATTATTATTATTATTATTGTATGTTTTCGTACTTCTTCCTCTTCCTCCTGTCCTTATTAGGTTTCCCTTTTCTTTCGCTCCCCCTCCCATTGTCTGTGATTCTCTCAAGGGGTGTGCGTAATGAGAGTTGGAAACAGTTGGGGAGGAAAAAATGAAAACAGGGAAAAGGGAGGGGAAATAACGAGAAGGGGGTGATGTTAATTCTGATGTTTGTCGTTATTGTTGTTGCTATTACTGCTAGTGATGGTGTGTTAGTGGTGAATGAAGGGTTAATTAGAAGAATTTTCTCATATATAAACATATGTACACATATATATACACACACATACACACTGACAGATATTTGAATTTACACTCATATCTCTTGATGTCTCTATGTGCTTTCTGTCTATATCTACATCAATATCTATATTTATATTTATATAGAACCCTAGATATTCGTATCTTTTGTGGTAATGTTGGAGATTGTGAGAAAATGAGAGGGGCAAGGAAAAGGTCAAAAAAAAAAAAAAAACGACATCTTCTTTTGTTCAACACGTGTCTCGATGGGGGAGGAAATAAAATACAATGATGTTTCTTTTTTTTTCTGTTCGGATTTCTATTATTATTATTATTATTATTATTATTATTATTATTATTATTATTATTATTATTATTATTATTCACATTTCCTTTCCCTCTTTTCATCTCTTCTTTCCCTATGTGTTTTTTTTTTTTTTGTTTTGTTTTTTCTTTCGTTTTTATTATTAAATTTTAGATTATCTCAACAAACCTAGCAGTAGCAAAAACATCTATTTCGTTCTACAGTCTGTGTTTTCTCAGAAGAGTGGAATAAGAATAAGAACAATCAAACAAAGAAGAAAAGAAAGAAAGAAAGAAAAAAAAAAAAAAAAACATACCGTCTATTACAAATTCCAAATCTTTTAAGTAATGAAGGTTACTGTTATTTCTGGATCCAAATCTGAGGTTGTGGAGCTCCCCGTCAATCCCACACTTGATGATCTTAAGAAGAACTACAAACCAAAGTTAAGTGTCCACCGCAAGACCTTCAAACTACAAAGCAGTGCAAAGGATGAAAACGGTAAACCCGTTCTCATCACACTGGAGGGAAAGAAATCATTAAGTCAACAGGGTGTAAAGGAAGGCACAGAGTTGGTATTTAAGGATCTTGGACCACAAGTGGGTTATCGTACCGTCTTTGTGGTGGAGTACGCTGGACCATTGGCCATTATGTTCTTCTACGCTATGCGTCCATCCTTTATTTACGGCAGCAATCTCCCACCCTTTTGTTATACACAAAAACTCTTTGTTTCTCTCTTTGCCGCCCATTTTGTAAAACGTGAGTTGGAGACCTTCTTTGTTCACAAATTCTCCCGCCCAACCATGCCCTTCCGCAATCTTATTAAGAACTCTGTCTATTACTGGACCTTTGCGGCCTTTATTGGCTACGTGCTGTGCCATCCATCCTACCAGGAGCCATCCTCCCGTGTGTTGGTGAATGCCTCTGCGGCGGCGATGGTACTTTTTGAAATGTTGAACTTCGCCGTTCACAAACAATTAAGTAATATGCGCACAGGTGATGGAGATACCGCACGTTCGGTGCCGCAGGGTCCACTCTTCTCACTGGTTTCATGCCCGAACTACACCTTTGAGGTTCTCTCCTGGGCGGCCTTCTCTATGGGCACCAGCATGCTCTCCTCCTGGTTCTTCACTGGGGTGGGATTACTGCAGATGGGTGAGTGGGCATTGAAGAAGCACAGTGCCTACAAGAAGACAGATCCAAAGGTGAAGGGTAAGAAGGCGATCATTCCTTTCGTCATTTAAAAAAAAAAAAAAAATGAGAAAAGAAAAGAAAAAAAGGGGTGGGGAACAGGCAATTGGTTTTTTTTTTTTCTTTTTTTTTAAAAAAAAAAAGAAATAGGATATGATAAAAGAAAAGGGGAGAAGGGGAGCAAAAAAAAGAAAAAAAAAAGAAAAAAGAGGGAAATAGCGAAGAAACAATTACTTTCCGTATTTTTGTTTTGTTTTTTTTTTTTTTTTTTCGTTTTCTGTTGTTTCTCCCTTTGTGTGTTTTTCCTTCCCATACGCTATTTTTTTTTTTTTCTTTCTTTTTTGTTTTCGTGCCTTTATGAAGAAGGTATGCTCTTCTTCTTTGTTTTTGTGGTGGTATTTTCTTTTTGTTTTTTTGATTTGATTGTTTTTTTTTTTCGTGTGTGCGTCTTCTCTCTCTAGCTCTCTCGCTCTCTTGTATTCAAAATCTCATTTGCTTAAATGAGTGTGGTGCCAGTGGGTGTTTGCCCAACTATTATCAACTCTTGTTGTTGTTGGTGCTGCTGCTGCTGCTGCTGCTTGAGAGCATGAAAACAAAAAAAGAAAAAAAAAACCTTATCGTTGTATTTATTATTCATGTACTCTTTGAACCATTGGCGTGTTATACACATACACATAGATATAAAGTAAATGTGAGGCAAGAGGGTGGTGGGTAGATGAAAAAAGAAAGTAAAAGATATTAAAAGGAAAGAAAGAAAGAGAAAAAAAAGAAAAAAAAATCAACAAGAGTAAAATATTACCGGAACGAGAGGAAGACATGCTGAAATGGAATATATATATATATATATATATATATATATATATAAACCTACATATGCACGTATTACAGGATTGATGCCTCTGTACTAACTATAGGGTGATTGTACATGATTTCAGAAAAGGAAATAATGAAAGAAGAAGGGGAAAGAGAAAAATGCAAAATTATATTTTTTTCTTTTGCCCATAGCCTTATATAGTTGAAAAGAGGCAGAATAGCGTATTGTTATCTCTCTAAACGCAGAGGTGGGATGGGAGTGGAAGGGAACCACATATATATATATTTATTTATTTATATATATGGGAACGATGTGCAAGCGTATATATATATATATTTTGCATAACACCATTATTATTATTTTTTTTTTGTTTCTTTATGAAATTGGTATAACGAATGAGATGTAAACCAAAAAAAAAAACGTCTGTTAACGTTTTACTTTATTTTTTGTTGTTTTATTTATGAGTTCTCCCTTTTTTTTTTTTTTTTTTTTTTTTTTTGTGCATCTCAGAAGGAGTACAGATCTCTTCTTCTTCATTAGCGTGCTTCTTTAATCCGTTTTTGTAAAGATATTGATAATCAAAACAAACTAAGAAAAATAATAGAGAAGAAGAGGGGGTTGGGGTGGTGAGGCCTTTACAGAAAAAAAATAAAAAAATAAATAAATAAAAGTGATGATGACAACTGCGGCCGTTGCTGCTGTTAGTGCTGAGCCCCCAACGGAGGAGTTTCTCTATAGTAACATGGAGTACTTGGCCTCATTAGATCCTCCCGCTATTCAACCCGTGTTGCCATCCCTACCAGAAGGTGTAGGACTTCTCCCAGTAGATTTCCAACTAACTACATTCATAGAAAGAGAAAGAGAAGAAGAAAGAGAAAGAGAAGAAGTAGGAAGCGAGAGAAGAGAATCCACAGAAACTCATGGGATCTCCATAGTACTTCAAGTAAACGCCGTGGAAGATGTTTCCCTGCCATTTGCACAACGACTACGAAGTATAGTCCCATCAGAGGAAACCCCACAGAATGAATCTCAACAGATGAGTGTGGAGGAGACACTGCGATCATTAGAGAGTAATGAACCCGCATCCACACGACGTGGACGTCGACAACGTTTACTGCGTTTAACTCTCACAGATGGATTCTCACGTATTATCGCAATGGAAGACTCTCAAGTGAGTTGTCATTGTCTACGCGGTGGAGTGGCGTTGGGAGCTAAATTGCGAATATTCGCTCCATTGAAAATACGACATGGTGTGCTTATATTAACCTCTGAAAAGACAGTTCTCTTGGGAGGGTTTGTACCAGAGCTGCAGGCATTCTGGACACAACATGCAACTGCCATTCTTGAGGAAATGAGTGGAAGATCTAAAAGGCGTACATTACCTCATTTACAAAATAATATCCATACTCTTCTTGCTGCTACTAGTATTTCTGCTGCTGTTGCTCCTCCTCCTCCTTCTATTAATACTACTACTACTAATACGAATGGGATAACACCCTTTGTGGAAGATGTAGTGGGTAGTAGAGCACAGCCACAGCAACAGCCAATACCGATACAACAACAACAACAACAACATTCTGATTTCTTGCATTCTACTAATGTTGGGATGTCAGCAGGTAATAACTCGGAGCGTAGTTTAATTCAAAACATGCAACCCCAACCACTTTCTGCTTGGAGACAACATCATCCACCCACTAATCCTTTTTTAACACTTGCTGTTATTAGTGATGTCCGTTCGGAATTAACGATTCGTGAGAATGTACGAAATCCTCTTGGTGGTACAACACAATTCTTTTCTCTTCTTGTGATGCTGATCACTCCTCCTCGCCTCACTAATAATAACAGTGACAATAAAGAATGGTATGTGGGTCTTGGAAGAGTAAGAAAGGAAGAAGAAATGGAGTTATTGGTGGATTTAGGTCATCGTTGGTTACGACAAGCATTACGTATGGAACCAGATGCATTTCGAAGACTTTCACTTTCACGAGATCCCAATGATGTGGCTAATCTTGATAGATTGGTAAATGATATTGGGATGGAACTGGAAAACCTTGGTGAGGCCCTCTTTCTACTGCGGCAGCGTGAAGTGGATGGAGTGGTTGAAGTAATGGAACTCCAACGTCTATCACAATCATGAAATTTGTAAATGATGGTGGGGTGAGTCTATCATTTATAATCCATTAAAAAGAAGGAATATATATATATATATATATATAAGGATTTTTAGCTCTGGTGGGAGGAAGCGAGTGGTGTGGGGAGAGAGGAATGACGATAGCTGTGTGTATATTTCTTTATTTGCTTCCTTATTGTTGTTTATTCATTTATTCTTAGATGCATACTTAATTTTCTATTTACTTTTGCAAAATGACAGAGAAAAAAAAAAAACTAAAATGGAGCTGGTGGGAAAATTTTTTAAATTAAAAAAAAAAAGAGGTACAGAACATGTTGTGTCTATTCATGCGATTATTTTTATTATTAATTAATTAATTAATTAATTATTGTTATTATTATTTCCATGTCCTTCCAATCTCATTACTGTAATGGATTTGTCTTTCTTTTCTCTCTCTCTCTCTCTCTCTCTCTCTCTCTCTCTCTCTAAAATGGAAACACGGTGACTTGGCGAAGTGAAAGAAAAGGAAAAAAGATATCGAAAAAAAGGAGAGCAAACAAACCATACATTCCCTGTATTGTCAACATAAGCCAATACTTTAGAAGCAAAAAAATAAAATAAAAATAAATAATAATCATCAAAACAGGAGCAAGTCCCACTTACACACAGAAGGCTAAATGGGCTGTGGCTACTCCGTCTACTCTGAAAAGGATGATGTTATCTTCAAACACACCAAAGCTCCCGCCCCTGGTATCCGCAAAGTGGTAAAGATGTTCAAAAAGGAGAATGGTCTCCTCTTCCGACTTGAGCTCCAGGGCGGGGAATGGGCCTTTTATAATGATACGGATGAGTATGAATTCCATGTGCGGTATGTGTTTAACGGCGACAGTGATATAGATGCCCTGGATGATGCCACTCTCTCTGAGATGGATGACGGCACTGTAGTGGTGGAACTCATCGTCTATCCACGAGAGACGGCGATGTTTGTTAAGGGCGACATCACAGGCGCGCAGGGCAGAGTGGAGGCACAGCCCGTCTCTGAGCGGTACAAGCGGGAAAAGATAAAGAGAAAGGTCCTTGCCAAGGGAGGCTAAAGTATTATTAGTGATAGTGGGGAGGTTTGGGAAGGAGCAGTGATTATTATTATTATTCTTGTTGTTGTTAATGGTGATGATGATGTTATTTTTGTTTTTATTATTTTTTGTTTCTTCTTTCTTGCCCATTATTTTCGTTAGAGTGGTGATTTTTTTTAATATTTGTGTTTCAGGGTGTATTAATGTTGTTGTTGTTGTTGTTTCTGCTGATACACCCTTCTTCTCTCCAGTGAGTACTTCTCCATCGTGAGAAAGGAGAAGAGGAGGGTAACTTGATAGGTGGAAGTGTGGTCAAAATAGAAGGAACAATAAAAGAAAAAGAAGTGGAGATGGAAGAAAGGGGATAATCGAGTTGTTGGTTTTTTTTTTTTT